GAGCAATGCTTTCATGAATATTTCCTTTTTAAATCAGTCATAATTTTTTCCCTTTTCTTCCCGTCGACTTTATTGAATTTGCAAATGCGCCCGTTTCACTCGACTTTCTAACGAATAGAAACGACAACGTTATTATCAAAGCTAATTGTATTCGAGAATGTCTCTTTCTCTACTCTTTGAATCGAGTAATCCTTTGGCTCTTGGCAATTAATTGGGTGAGTCCATCGATATCGCGGCGGAATCTTATTAGTTTCAAAAGAGTGTCGCCGCGTTGCTCTTTTTTCCTCCTTTTCGTTCTTTCTTTTTTTAACTCCAACGTTGACTTGTTCTTCTTCCCATCTCTTCTTGCGCTCACGCTGTATTGGCTTTTTCCGCGACCTAAGCCCCTCCAGGGAGGGCGAGAAAACTTGGCCAAGCTGCTTCCGGCAAAGTTTAATTAACTTCTAAATCTTTTGCCTTTGATTATAATTTTCTCTCCCTTTTGCCTTTTTTCAAGGTAGCAACGGTACAGGCGCACTTTACTCTTCCGGGATCCCGATTTTGCTCGTTTTTCAGTCGCGCTGCGATTTCTCACCCTCGACGATTGCCCCTTTTATTTTTCATCGCTAGAGTCGCCAACGAGTGTGATAACGGAGGGCGATGAAATTTACTGTATAATTTCGGATTCCCTACGTCTTTTTTACTCTATCGTCTCGAGAAAATACCAGAAGAAGATTGTCGCATTATAATTTTATAAACGAAATGCCTTTCGAATTCTAACGAAATTCTTAACTTTCGTACATACGTTGCGGGCGTAAATGCAATACATGAGAGTTCCAAAGTGCTGCTATGCATACGCAATGCTTATCCCAAAGCTTTGAACATTGAATTTTGTCTCTGAATTAAAATCTGCTGAAGCTGACGTGAGCCTCTTTCGCGCTTAAGGCTTCATCGTAATGGTTCTCTAATCATGTAATACATAGCAAAAAGTATGCTTTGACAAAGTTCAGTTATGCCCAACACATCACAATTTCACTTCGAGTCTTACGAAGATAAATAAATTACATAAGCATTTCTCTAAAAATGAAAAACTTTGGTAAGTCAATATCGCAACATGATTATAACTATTAATTTACAAGTTGATCGTCGCCAGGTCTCACGTTGTGGGCCGAGTATATGGAAATTGATAAAAAAAACAAGAAATTGAGCGCAAGTTTCGTTCGTTACGTGCCTCGGCCTCTCTCTCTCTCTCTATCTCTCTCTCTCTCTCTCTCTCTCATGTGCTTCTCTTTCTGCAGCGGTCTTTTTGTCGCTGCGCAAATAGACTATGAATTTTCAAACTTTTCACGGACGAGAAAATTTGCAACTTTTTTTTCACTCGGCAAGCTCCTGCGTCTTGCCATCGACGCCGTGCAGCGGTGGTGCGGCAAATTTTCCACCTCGTGGATTATGACTAATTCCATTATACTTCGCTTCTCGGGAGGGAGAAAAAAGAAAAAAAAGCTCGCGCCTCATTGAAAAGTTAACAATCTTTTTCGCGGAAGCTTTTGAGTTTTGAAATCACGTGGCAAATTTAGAGCGTCATCCACTCGCGTTATAATGCATACATTTTCGAGAAACGAAAAAAGTGGGACGGAGGAGGTGATGGAAGAAAAAGATGAGGATAGCGGCAGCGTGTCATAAAGAATCCAGTGGCTCGTTAATCCCAGCGAGGCGAGGGTGCTGGCGGCAAAAAGCCTTTGCAATATGAAAGTCCCATCGCGCGCGTTACCTGCAGCTGTCGCGCGGCTAATGAAACCTAATGAGCCGGAAAGAAGCGGCCCCGGCACTTCCGATAACGAAGTGTTGCTTCCTTCGTCTGCCCCCCCCCCCCCCCCGGCCATCACTCACTCGACAAACATCGCACGACAACCGTGCTTCGATTTGCCGAGTTGTTGGTCTTGGGACACGAGGCTCTGCCTGTCTGTGCATCTTTATAACTGCCTTCATGCCTAGGGGTTAGTTGAGAGTTATGAGGGGCTATTTGAATTTTAAGCTGAGTTATTGCGGAGTTAAGCTTTGTATTAGTGCTTTGCTAGAGAGCAAAAGAATGTTTTTGACTGTCAGACTGTTTATCGGATAAAAAATCACCGGGGTAATTAAAAATGTTTTCGTTATTATTCGTGTGGCGACGATGCTTTTTCTGTCATATTTGCGCGAGCGCAAAAGAAAGCCATAAAAATGATTCGAAATATACAGCTGCCTTGGACACGAGACTAAAAGACAAATAATGAATCTGGACTATGCAGAAGCAGCAACGACAGCGGCGCAACTAAACTGCCACGGAGACGTGTAAAATTAAAGCGCGCGTGGAAGGCTAACAACAACATCCTGGTCGCTCTGGAACGACGTCGCTCGTCGCGTCTTGGGCATTACATCGCGCGCGACGCTTCTGCTGATGGCGGTGTTGTCGGCCAATATAATCGGCGCCGGCGGCTACAGTTAGTAGCAGCAGCCGCGGCGGCGGCGGCGGCGGCGGCGGCGGCGGCGGCGTCGAAACTTTGCAGTCTCTCGGCCAATTTCCGTCGGCAAACATCAGCCCCTCCGCCACCTGCCTGTGTCGATGTACAACGCACAAGTCCGGCGCTGGCGGGCCCCGCTACATGCCGCAAATATTTCCAGACGGGAATGCGCTAATAAGTGCTGGCGCCGCGGGATTGATGGCGGCCCTCGCCACGCTCGCGAGCTCAATCAAAATATCCGTTCGCTTGCGCGACAAGAGAATGCGTCGCGCGGCGCTGCCTCGCGCGAAAATTCGAGTCTGATTTTCCGGGCGGACCGCTTCCCGGCCGCGGCTTCGTTCGATTCGTCACGACCAGGAGTGGAAGCGACTTGCCAATCCTATTTCGCCGGCTCTCGCCCGGGAGCGCTTCTTCTCTCGTTCCCCTTTTCTTTCGAGCGCTCTCGTGTTCCACGAATTATTTACTCCGCCAGGACTGTCCGTCACTGCGAATTATTCACGCTGGGCCGGAGCTGCTGGCAAAACTGTTGCTTCTCGAGTGGAAAATCGGGAAAGAGTCCGAGAGCCGAGCCACGATTACGCGCTAATTATATTGAACGAATTGCCGAGTGCGCGCTCTTGCTCTCTCTCCCTCGCTCTAACCGGCGACGATTTTCTCTCTTTTGGGTTTTCCCCTGGTCACAGTGCGACGCTGGCGCACCGAAAATAGAGCCGCGTGGCTTAATGCTCGTAATGTCGCTCGCTTTCTCTCTCTCTCTCTCTCTCTCTCTCTCTCTCTCTCTCTCTCTCTCTCTGCCTCCTTCTCTTTTTCGCTTAATCTCCAGTGCTTCACGAGAGTGCGCTCTTTACCATCTTTTTCTCGGCTATTCGTTTTTTGCTATCCATCCCAAAGATATTGTGTGAAATCTTTATTCTATAATTTCAGTGTCTCAACGAAATAAGTTTCATCTCTCTGCTTCTCTTGCGATATTTTCATCGTTTTATTTGATTTACTGGTTCGTTGTCGGACTATCAAATCTTCCATTGTACAGTCTATTTGATATCAATGCAATGCTGTCTTTAAACAATAACAAATAAACAATTACGTTATAATGTGCACAATACGCGATATATTGACGTATATTCGCGTTCAATATGCAACAAAATGTGTTATCGGGTGGCCGAAGCATTATGGCAATATCGTGTGAACAAGACAACAACAAAATACGACGATAAATCAAAAGCAGACAACGTTATCGCCAATCCCCTATTCGCACTCTCGCGTACACATGTGTTTGTGCGTGTATATCGTTCTATAGACTGCTCGCGCACTCTTTTTCCCTCTCTCTCTCTCTCCGTTCGTCTCTCCGGCAATCTCCCTGCGTATCCGCGCGCGCGTCTCTCGCTCTCTCGGGCTCTCCCTCCCATCTTCGCCTTTAAATTTAGAAATTTCGAATTTCCGCACGCGACGCCGGCCGCCGACTCGTCGTCGTGTCGTGTTTGCTGCGTATTGCCCTCTCGTCGTCATCGTCGTGGTCGTCGACGCCGCCAGTTCGACCTTTGCCCGCGTCCGACTCGATTGGCCGAGCAACGACGGCCGAACGACGCCTCGTGTGCCCGTGCTTTTGTGCGCGCTTTATAAATAGCGCGCCGTGTTTCTCGCTGATTGCAAATCGTCACCATTGCCGTGGATAATATTGCGCGAATGTTGTGTGTCAGTGCGCGCGTGAGTGCACGCGTCGGATAAATGGACGATACGCGATATACTTTGAGCGGCCGCCCAAAGTCGGCTGAGTGCGCTCGCGAGGAAATATCAGGCGCAAGCTCATCGGTGTCGATTCCGATGAAGGGGCAAAGAAGAGGCGGCGCGCGAGCGCGAGCCTAAACCGCCGACCGAGCCCAATGGCACGCGTCCGTGGACGTTCACCCTGCTAAAAATAGTGCAACGCACCGCTTCTCAGCTCTTCGTCGCTGCTGTTTTTTTTTTCTTTTCGATCCACGCGCTGCACTGACTTTTATACCGCTGTCGCTAGTGTGCGCGCGTTTGTGTATATAGGTGCAGTGTGCGCGTACACGAGAGCGTAGCTGCTGAAAACATGACGTTGGTTAAGTGGCACGCTAGCGTTTCGCGAGGCGAAATGGGCGCGCAAGTTGTTTATTGCATTCCGCTCTGGAGCGGCTCTGTTTGAGCTCGGGGATTCGTAAACAATGAGGAGTGCCTTGCCTGCTACCGCTTGCCTCTACCCGCTGAGATTTCAAATAATCAAAGGTGAGAGCCAACTTGCGAGCGATCTCGATGTATTTCTATTCGCCAGCTGAAACTTGCACCGCCCCCGCCTTCTCGTTAGCAGTCGGTTGGAAAATTCGACGCGAGCTTTTCAACGACTGCCACCTCCTTGTTTCTTTTTCCTCTGGTTCTGCTGTCAAAGCACTCCAATTATTTACGCTTTCGCGAAATGCACTGTCTATAAATATACGTTATTACGCGCAAGCACGACGACGCTCCGAAGTGTACGAAAATGTGTTGTCTTTACTTCGTGAACCGAGGCATTTTTTGGTGCCATTTCAAAAGCAATGAGAATCTATCGCCTATAGGTATCGATGCGGTTTTCACTTTCCCTTAAATTAATTGCACTTCTTTTAGAATCCAATGCGGTTTTCACGAAGCATAAACATCGCGTTATTTTCGGAACAGTCTAATAGAATGTCGCTCGATCAATCTGCGTGAACGCACAAACTAGTCCTACATAAATCTTAAAATAATCCGATGGCGAGTTTTTTTGTCACACTTTAATGATAAGCATTTTTTTCTAAGAAAATCACTGTTCAATTTATCCACAATTTGTGCAAAAGACTTTCCAAATTACTTTTGCAAATTCTACAAAGTTAATCTTGAAGTTATATCGATAAACTCCATATTATTCGTGCTTAGCAAAAATCCCATTGAAAGTCCATCCATTTGAAAGCATCACAGTTAACGGGTGAGCTGCGTTGACACGATATCCGAAAATATAATTAGGAACTGGTTTTGAAAAAGTGTCCAAAGCTCTTTTATGGTGAACAAAGCATCAATGGAAAATATAATAATGAGACTGTTGCTTCCAGGTGGTGCTTCCAGGCTGATCCAGCTTACGTGAAGCCTGGCAATCTGGGCTTTGGAGTGCAGAAGGCGGAAGTCGAATGATAAGCATGCTGCGATTAGAGCTGGTAGGGCTGGTACTGCTGACGTGCAACCAGATTCTCACCGAACACCGTGACTTTTATGGGTTGCGTAATCAATACGGATCGAATCATCGTTCATCGGGCAACTATGCTGGCGCCAAGACTCGCGAGATACACACCACCTGCGGCCGACTCAAAGGCACCGTCGTGCAGCCTTACACCGACAGCCCGCTCGTCGACGTTTTTCTCGGTGGGTATTTATTCGGCTCGCGCTAAACGTGCGTCGCCTGGAAACTATTCCCTTCGGTGGAAGATTACGTACGGTCGCCGACTACGTAAGGTGCGCGGTACTAGCGTGTTTGGGTATTAAAACGGAAGTTTGAGCGACTCTCTCTTGTCCAAAAGAATAACAGACCTCACACGCGCGAGGTCAGTTGCGAGATACGCGTATTTCTCCGCGACAGAACAAACGAACTACGGCTTTGCAACGCCATATATTTCGTCCAAACAAACTTGCCCGTAAACAATGGATGCGAAACGAAACGATCAAAGAGACGTACGACAACGAGGCAACAGTGGAGAATATGAAGATACCGCGCGCGTGTTAGATATGAAGGAGCAGGCCGAGAATAGACGTGTGCGGGCGTGTGTGCCATGCGAGCGTGACTGTCAAGTCGACTAGCAGTTCGCGCTGCTCATAATTTACCTCGAACGCGCCCGCGACACGGCGTAAGAGCGAGTGCCGTTCTCGCCTATCGAACGGCGATGACCGCACGCGACCGGAATTTCTTTCTTTTTCTTTCTTTTTTCTTTCCTTTCTTTTTTCGTTTTTTCTTTGTTTTTAAATACACGGGCCCCGCCGTTAGCTCGCGCCTGAATTTAGGAGACCGTCAATGATGATGGACGTTAATTTACGAATAAATAAACACCTTTTACGCGTCTGGCGCGTTTAAAAATAAACTTTTCACAGGGTTACGACCTGTAAAATGCTGCTCAGCAATAACTCGCAGTTTACTTACATCTCAGAATTATTACGAAATAATGAAATGAAGATCGTCAAGCGGAAATTGCATCCTCCACCGGAAACGTTTATTTATAAAAATAAAACCGATTGAAAGCACTTAGCAGGAGCATAAAAATTAGTGGAAGGCAATGAAGTAACCCTTGAAAGGCAGGAGAGTAGATAAAGCGCGGGGGTAGTGGATCTTTAAAACAACGGAAAAAGCCCTTGAAAGCCGAGAAAGCATAAAATCAGGAGCCGTGAGAGAGAGAGAGAGAGAGAGAGAGAGAGAGAGAGAGAGAGAGAGAGAGAGTCGAGGAAAGTTTTATTTATCGGCGACGATTTTCCTTAGAAAGTCCGCCCAAGAGAGCATCGATCCGAAATCGGGCGTGAAGTAGCTTGCACGAGCGGGAGCGCCGCCAGGGCCGGAAACGGACGCTCGTCAGCGGGACATCAGTCCCCCATGCACTGGCACACTCGGGGAAAGAGACGAACTGCATATAGAGATTCCCAGATAAAGAGAGCGAGGATGCCTTATCATTTGACGCCCACGCGTGGTTAAACCATAAAAGCTTATACTTACGGGAAAACTTCTGCTAAGAGCAATGAGGATTACATGCTTAACTTTACTCGTCGGCGCATACCTTTGCTGCTTTTCCCGAAATGCCGAATCCAAATAACTAGCGCTACTTTTAGTTCTTGACTTGGTTGTTTTGCAGTTGGTGGAAACATGTACATCGCGGAATTTCGGAAAGCACTGTGAGATCGGTTTGTTTGTTGTTAATCTCACGAAAATACCGCAAGTTCTAACTTTGCCTGGGAAGAAAATAGTTAAATAATTGGCACTTGTCAGGAGGATACCTACAGCTGCAAGCAAGCAATTTTCAAAATAACTTGACGATATGCAAAGCGATGTACGGATATGAAATTTCGAACCGTGTAGAATGCAGACTACACAATAGGATTTCCGGTCTTCTTTAGAATTCCTCGTCGCGGATTTCCCAAACATTTCGGAATTCCCAAGTATTTTAGAACCTCTCTCTCTCTCTCTCTCTCTCTCTCTCTCTCTCTCTCTCTCTCTCTCTCTCTCTCTCTCGCTGTCTCGTTCTAGTCTTCTTGGTCGGTCGCTCAAGCGCACGTTTTAAATTAAATTTCTAGTTAATACACGTGAAGCCTTGGGGAATGTCATCGAATGCAGCAGGGCGATTTGGCGGGCAACAAGAAAAATCTTTTCGCGCGAAATCCAAGATGAAGAAGGAAAATTTAAATTCTAAAAGTAGCCTCGGTAGCAGATGAAGGAGAGTAGTCGAGCTCGAATAGCTGAAATTCCAGGCCACGTCACGTAACGCATTTGTCTTGAAAAATGTCGAGAGCTTTGTGCGCTCGTTCTCACAGGAGTGCCGTACGCTGATCCGCCGACGAGCAACTTACGCTTCGAGCCGCCGAGATCGCCGTCGCCAAAATCGTGGGCCGGCGTGAGGCACTGCACGAGCTTCCAACCGGTCTGCCCGCAACTGCTACCCGACATCGAGGAGGAAGTGGAGGGCGCGCGTCGCCGATATCTCGAGAAACTCATGATTTACCTGGACAAGCAGAACGAGGACTGCCTCTATCTGAACATCTACGCGCCGCATCAGAACGCCAGTAAGTACGTCGTCGCTGGAGCTGCACGCTCCGCGAGCGATCGCGCGCGCAAACTTGCCGGACTATATATAAAATTTATCTAACGGCTCGAGCCGCCAAAACTCTACGTGGTTTTTTCTCGGGCGCTCTTCACTCGACGGCTATTTTCAGAGGTGCTCCCTCTTGGGCAACTATCAGCGCGCGCTTGCCCTTGCTTCGCGCCGCGCGTTCCGCTGCGACTTGGCATCACTGAACGCGAAACCTTTGGAATGCTTATGGGAGATCCGCAGGCCCGGTGCCACGAAAGGATTACTCGGGCAAACGTTAGTTCGGCAAACTACGGACGTAAGAGAAAGGAGCCGAGACGTTTCGAGAGATGTGGCTGCGCTCGCCACGTTTCTTTGAGTTTTATTTCACTTGATCCGCGCAGCGTGCCGTCAGTTGAGTAGCGCATGAATATGAAATGGCACGGAACGTGTGCTGATGAAGAAAAGATGCCGGGCGACGTTTATCTCTGGCAAAAATATATAGTGAATTTTGCAGTTGGCGTTGAAAAGTGCATACGGAAATTTGACCCATAAATATAGTCACATAACGACCGTAAAGAAGAAAAAAGACTCTCGCTCGCGCGCTCAGCAGCGAACAATAGAGTAGAAAGGTCGAGAAGAAGAGGAAGGAGAAAAAAAAATGTTTTTTTCTATTCAGTGCTTAGCTTCTTCTTACAGGGTTGTAGCTTAGGGAACAGCCCCCGCTCCGTCACTTTCGCGCATTCTCCTCGACTCGGCTCGCTTACTTTCTTCTCTCTCGAGTGCGCTGGAGAGTTTGAAAAGAACTGCTTAAAATAAACGGGCAGAGCTCGCGCTCACACGTAGCCATGTGCGCGAGGCCCGACAATACATTCTCGATCCTTTGTTGGGCGGCTAGTTTATGATAGATATATCGCGGCTATTGAAATCTCTTCTTAACCAATGAGCGAAGCACCTTTATTTATGGGTTCTCGCTCGGCTGGCTCTTTAGCGCGCGATTCGCTGCAGAAACGAAGGTGCGTATATCTGTCGGAGCGCCGCACGTGGAAAGTGCAGCGGAGGCAGACGAGGAAGGGCACCCGATTACGTATAGACGCGATAAGCGAGCACGAGCTTTATCGCCAAGGTCTGCGCTTCTCCGCCGCGTCTTCGCGCGGCGGCCCGCCGCTCCTGAATTTCCAATTGTACTTGCTTTGTTGAGTGAGCTCTTTTATCTTGGCTTGTTTGCGAGATTTTCGCCGTGAAAGCGTGACTTGGCTGCTTAAGCTCCCGGCCCTGGTCTTTAAACTTTTAATCCGCAAGAAAAATGCCACGCTAACTTTCCCGATGCTTCGCCCTCATCGAAAAATGTACGTATTTGTGCACGGCAGAGATTTTCCCCGATAGAAAATTCATTGCAGTACCAATCGTGCAGGCCTCAACTTCTAGTCGAATGACTTTTCTTGGCATATTCAATTCAATTTTTTATAGCTGCATTGAAGCCTTAAAAGCCCTAAAATCACAATAGTATTTGAGAAAGCCAGTTAGAATTATGCAAATCCATTGAAGGGACGAATCGACACTCCGAGAATGGGCCTTCGTTAAAGGTCTACAGCACTCGCAGCATAAACTCTGATTAGATAAAGGAGTATCAACAGTTTTTATCGACTTGGCTGACGAGAATCTGCAATCTACTTGGCGGCGCTTCGACGGCCGGAGACGACGGCGGAACGAAGAAAGATAGCAGAGGCATCGCGAGAGCTGGCAGCAATCAATCGACATATCCATTACCAATCGAGTATATAGCAGTAGCTCGCGGTGAGAATGCCGAGAGCTGCGACTGCGGGATAAAGAGGGAGAAAGCAACAAAAGGCTCTCGTCCGTCCACTCACTTATCTTAATCAAGAGGCAAGCGTTGCATAATGCCTCGCTGTGCTTTGCGTCGCGCCAGGTCCGCGGGCGCGCGGGCGCGCGCGCGCGCGTTCGAGTCTCGCTGCAATAAAAGCGACGACGAAACAATGCCGCGGAGGCAGCGTAAATTGAAGAAAACGCGACAATGTCGCAGCCAGGCGGAGAGTTTCTCTTCATAATATCGAGACAATAGCTGACCCAGGTCAGGCTACCGCCGAATGAATGTTGCATGCGAGCAGCGCGCCAGCCAGCCCTACTCGCCCGTCTGCCTGCCTGCCTGCCACTCAGTAGATTGCTCCTCCCTCGTAAAAACCCCGACTGCAGCGCGCCCGAGCTCTTTGCTTATTTACAGCCGAGCGATTAGTTTATGACGAGCCTCCCCCCCCCTCCCCCTCTCACACTCTCTCTCTCTCTCTCTCGCGCTGCCCCCTCTCCACTTTATTACTTGCGATTTATGCTCCCCACTGGAATTCCCATTCAATTGAGCCGCGAGGCCTCGCCGCGCTGTCAGGATTGCCCGCCAAGTTTGACCATTTAATTCGGTTAGCGCTTAACGGACAGCGCAGCCAACCTTTTATGAACAAAGTTCGCGTCAATTTGCCTGAGCTTTACGCTACCGAGCCGGACGCCGCGGCCTCTGCAACTTTCCATCGAATTAACCGACGATTTTACGGCGAAAGCGCTCGATGGTGGGCCACCCCTACCCACGCGCGAGTTTAAACACTTACCGCAAGTGAGCCGCCGAAGCTTCAAACGCAAGGTCAATCGAGTCACTGCGCTGCCACTTGCTAAATAGTCGCTTTAGTTCGATATACAGTTATCACGTTGTCCGGGCAATGATTCAACGCTTTTCATTAAGCTCATCTGGAGATTAATTCTCCCGCTGCCTCGGCGGCGAAAAAGTCATTAGGATAAAAAGCGCGCGAGAGCGACGCACAGGATATGTAGGCCAGAGCACACGAGAGCGAATAATCGAGCTCTAATTCCTTCTGTTTGCCGGCGCGCGGCCGTTTAATGACAGCGCCTGTCGCGGCCCTCTCTCGCTCTCGCCTGTGTTTGCAGTGTAATTCGACGCATGGAAACTCCATCGGGGCATAATGCGCCGGCCGCGCCTCGAGCACGTTAACAAATACTACCGATGCACTTTCAAATCGCGAAAGAGCTCTGTCCTGTGTCTATATGCCAGCTCGTTCGCTCTCGCTACTGTGTGTTTCATTTTCGGCCGGCCGCTCCCGCCACGGCACCTTGCCTTTTTTTGTCGCCTCGCGAGCCGAGCTGCAATCAGCGGCGGGCTTTGCCCGGACTTTATTTCCTTTTTCCTTTTCTTCCTCTTCTCACTCTCGCTTGCGCGCGCGCGCCCACTGAGAGAACGTATCAGGAGGCCGAGCCGGGCATTTTTTTTCATATTTCCTTTTGCGCTCTCACTGCCGCCGCTGCTTATTCGCCTGCCCCGAGAGAATAATCCACGGCTTAATTTTTCCTACGGATGATGAGTGTTTTTTATGCGCGAGCTTTAAAATATCCCGCTGATTTCGCTTGCCGCGGCCAGCCGCCTCTGTCTTCCCGGGTACTTCTCCTTTTCTCTTCTTCCGGTGTCGAATAGGGCGCCGACTGCTTCATCATTTATATATAGAGGACTTCAATCTTCCATTCGATAGTCCTATAATTGAAAACTGATTTATGTGCAACTAGGGCCAGACTTTTATCCGGGCATATTGGAATTATAGAGCGAATTCTTTTCGTATCGGTTTGACGTATCTCATTCGAACGACTTGGACGTACACATCGGATTAGATAAAAAATAAACCGAGAAAGGAGAGTGAATGATACAAGAGCTCGGAAAAGGGAATATGGGAGACGAGCGTGAAAAAGATCGGTTGTTTTGAAGTAAATGCAACTGTAAACGCACGAGGTCAAACGGGAGGGCAAACAGAGAGAAAGAATAATTGATAAAGTGCCTGGGGAAGGGGATGCGTGACTTGCTCGCTGCCGATCTCCGGCAGGCCGAAGGAAAGTCGGCCTCTGAAAAATAATTAACTGCTTTGCTGCACCTGTGAGCGCGGTTCCAAATAAACGCGTAAACGACCGAGGAATAAAACGGAAATAAAACTCGTAATGACTTCGGCGGACACAATAACGCTCGCGCGCTCTCGGTAGCTTTCATTTCTCTCTCTCTCTCTCTCTCTCTCTCTCTCTTCTCCGCCACTCGCAGCTTGGATAATGCATGTGTGCGCGCGGTGCCATTCGCGTAATTACAGCCGCTGGTGGCGCATTGACATCGCGCGTGCACGAGCGAGCGACGCTACCGATACGTATGTATGAGTTGCTACCGGGTATTGCATTACGTGATTACCGAATTCATTGGCTTACCTCTCGTTCGCTCGCCCCCGTGCTGCAGCTCACCGTCGGCCGACTTTTCAGGTTCTCTCGCCGAGCCCTTTCACTTTGCGCCTCGACTCCACGGCTAAAGAATTGGCAGGTGGAGCTTTTTCACTAATTACTTCTCCCCTTACCCAGACACCGCCAGCAAGCGAAGCTTTTTATTTATTTATTTGTTTGTCTCTGTTTTCCCTTTTTTAGCCGAAGATCGAGTAATCTATCACGGCTGATATCATGCACATACACTATTCGTTGCAAAAATGCAACAGCTGCCCCCGTAAATTCTGAATATGCAGTCTTTAATTCGGCGTTACGCCTGAAAAATCGACGCGCTTTAAGCTCGGCTTCGTGGGGGCATTGTTAAATCGTGTTATTTTTTTTTTTTTTCGCCCGCCGAAAATCCATTTCAATCCGTTGCGCGCGTGATGTATTTCAGCTGTCCGTAATACAGCGCTCCATTACATCGCTCAAAAATCAAATCATTTCGATCGGCGGCAAATCGAATTTATAACTCCGATCCCCGTGACGTCACGAAATTTGCATTTTTTTTATTCGCGCGGCTGAACTTTTCACTCGGTTCGCGGAAAGAGAGGGAGAGAGAGAGAGAGACAGACAGACAGATAGAAGAAAAAAAGCGCATCTTCGCATATCGATAAGGGGGAGCCGTAGTGCGATACCTGCCTCGCAGGTAGGCCTCGATTTTTCCTCGCTCGCGAGAGCTACACG